GACTGTGAAACAAAACTAAAATGGAAGGAATCAGTCTCCCCAATTTCAAGACTAATTACCCAGCTACAGTGAGTGATACTATGTGATACTGATGATAACAAAAGGACAGCCACATAGATCAATGGAGCAAAGATGCTCAACTTATTTTCCACAAAAGTGCAAAAGAAATTCAATAAAGAATACACAGCTTTTTCAATGAATAGTGAAGGAGTAATCTGACATCCTTGGGGGGAAAATGAACTTTGACCACAGTATTAGATCTTACACCAAAATTATCTCAAAATGGATCATGTACTTAAATATAAAAGATAAAACTATATATATTTTTTAAAAGCAGTAGGAAAAACTCTTCAAGACCTAGAGCAAGCAAAAAGATCTTAAATGTGACACCAAAAGCAATCTGTAAAAATAAAAACTGATAAATTACCCTTCATCAGAATTGAAAATTTTTGCTCTTAAAAGGACTGTTAAGATGAAAAGGCAAATTACTACTGAGTAGGAGAAAATATCTGCAAACTACTTATATGATAAAGGACTAGTATTTAGAATATATAAAGAACTCTCAAAACTCATGGGACACAACAGCAAACACCAGCCCAAATAGAAAGTGCTCCAAAGACAGTTTGCTGAAGAGAATATGTAGAAGGAAAATAAAGACTTTAAAAGATTGTCAAGGGCCTGGGATTTAGCTCAGTGGCACCAGCACCTGTCTTACAAGAGCAAGGTTCCGAGTTCAATCCCTGGTACACCCCCACCAAAAAACAAAAAAGAAAGAAAGAAAAAAAATATGGTCAATATCATTAGACATTAGAAAAGTACAAATTAAACCAGAGTACAATATGACAATGACAAACATAGCAATAACGCTACCTGTTATCAAGGATGTGGAGAACCTGGAAAACTTGTCCCTTTCTGATGGCAATGTAAAAGGCCATAGCCACTATGGAAAACAGTTTGACAGTTTTAAAAATATATATACAGTTACCATATGACCCAGCTCCTACACTTTCTGGGCATTTATCCCAGAGAAATGAAAACTCATTTTAGCACAAAACCAGGTATAGAGATATTTATAGACACTTTATTCATAATAGCCCCGAACTAGGAACAACTTAGATATCTTTCAATGGGTGGATAATTAAATAAATATGGTACATGAACTCTATGGACTACTACCCAGCAATCCAGGAACCACCCCCCCACACCCCCCACACCTGAATGAATCTCTGGTCATCACTCTGAGTAAAAAAGTCAATCGCAAAGTTATACACTGTATGATTGTATTTATATACATTTTTTAGGGAAGTACTCTACCACTGAGCTATATCTCCAGCCTTTTTACAGCACTTTTGAGATGACAAAAATTGAAATGGAGAATAGATTCTTGGTTTTCAGGGATGGGAAGAAGATGACATATAAGATACTCTTGTAAGGGGCTGGGGATTTAGCTCAGCCATTCGGTGGCCTGCCTTGCAAGCGCAAGGACCCAAGTTCAATCCCCGGTACAAAAAAAA